TTTCTTCAGGTTTGGAAACAGATGATAGTTGGAGGGAGCTAGATCCAGTGAATAAGGTGGGTGGTCAACCAGCTGGAAGCCTAGCTCCACCAGTTTTGCCATGGTTGCTTGTGCAGTGTGAACGGAGGCGTCTTGCAAGAACAAGATTCCTTTGGACAGCTTTCTGCAACTTTTGGCCTTCAGAATTGCCTTCAATTGGTCCAAAAGTTCAGTGTAATACCTTGCATTGATGGTGGAACCATTTTGAAGGTAGTCCATTAGCCATACGCCCTCCTTATCCCAGAACAAAGACGCCACCACCTTAGTGGCTGATTTTTGCACCATGAACTTCTTTGGATGAGGAGAACCACTATCCATTCACTCTTTTGACTGCTCCTTGGTTTCAGGATCATACAAATAAATCCAGGTCTCATCCATAGTGACCAGTCGATCCAGGAAGTTCTTCTCAGTTCGGAAACACTGACAAATGAACCAGGAAGTTTTCACTCGCATGCTTTTCTGATCTGTTGTCAAACATTTGGGGACCTACTTTGCAGAGAGCTTCTTCATGTTCAAATGTTCATGGATAATGACACAAATACGTTCACGAGAAATCCCCATGATGTCTGCTATTCCTTTAGCTGAAATTCGCTGATTTTCAGTAGGTTGTGCACAGCATTGACGATCTTTGGAACAACGATCATTCTCGGTTCTCCAGGACGTTCCTCATCATTGGTGCTGAAATGGCCCATTTTAAATTTGGCAACCCAGTTCTTAACTGTAGACTATGAAGGGCAGTGATTCCGCAATGTCTGTGACATATCCTTCGCGGACTTTCCTTGCAGAAACAAGAATTTTATCACTCCTCTGCTCTCATTTGCTGTGAATATCGCCTTAGACTCCGCCATTTTGTTTTCCTGCGTGCCTAGATCACTAATGCCATAAGCTAAAAACACAAAATTTTGAAAACATATATTAGACACATAAGGTTTTTATGTGATGTAACATTCGTTACCATTGAAACAAAACAAGAACACAAAGCCAAAGACTTATCAGCAGCCCCTCATATTAATTCAAAAATCAAGGAAAAGATAATTCTCTAATGAAACTTTTATATGGAGCTTCTGCTTCCTTGTAGAGCAGTGGTTCTCAACCTTCCTAATGCTGTGACCCCTTAATACAGATTCTCATGTTGTGGTGACCCCCAACCATAAAATTATTTATGTTGCTAGTTCATGACTGTAATTTTACTACTGTTATGAACTGTAATGTAAATATCTGATATGCAGGACGTATTTTCATTCACTGGACCAATTTTGGCACAAATACTCAATATGCCCAAATTTGAATAAATTTGAATACTGGTGGAATGGGGGGGGGGGTAATTTGCTGGGATTGGTTTTGTGATTTGGAAGTTGTACTTGCTGGGATTTATAGTTTGCCTACAATCAAAGAGCACTCTGAACCCCACCAACGATGGAATTGGACCAATCTTGGCATATAGAACTCCCATGAGCAACAGAAAATACTGGAAGGGTTTGGTGGGCATTGACCTTGAGTTTGAGAGTTGTAGTTCACCTACATCCAGAGAACATTGTGGACTCAAACAGTGATGGATCTGGACCAAACTTGGCACAAATACTCAATATGCCCAATTGTGAACACTGGTGGAGTTGGGGAATATAGACCTTGACATTTGGGAGTTGTAGTTGCTGGGATTTGTAGTTCACCTATAATCAAAGAGCATTCTGAACCCCACCAATGATAGAATTGTGTCAAACTTCCCACATAGAACCCCCATGACCAACAGAAAATACTGTGTTTTCTGATGGTCTTTGGCGACCCCTCTGATATCCCCTCACGACCCCCCCCCAGGGGTCCCAACCTCCAGGTTGAGAAATTCCAAGTCGAGGATTCCAATTACCAGACTGGTTTCGACTATATTAAGTCTACCTGAGGTGGAAAAATATGAAAATTACAGAATGCAATGGACATCAAGTTATCAGAAATTAAATATTTCTCAGGTGGAAAAGTATACAAATACAACTTCTATTTACAAAAGAGTAAGGAATCCATGCTCCAAAGAAGAAGTCATCTCTAAAGTATTTATGGTTATAAACTTGTGACTTTTTTTGAATGATCTTTACACTGCTCTCCAGAAGGGAATCATTGTGACAAGACTCATTGTTTACACCTTTATGTTCTTTGTATATATGTCCATTATTCTAGCATATAAGTTGTAAAAAACCATTACTACTGTGATTGCTGTACTACTGCTTGTAGTGGTTTTGTGTCTTTCAGGGAATCAATTTTCTGTTTAGCATAGGACCCAGCCATGGAAACCCTCCAAGTGTCTTTGGGCAAGTTGCACTGTCTCAGCCTCAAAGGAGATCAAGGGAAAACATCTACTGAATAATTCTTGTCAATGAGAGTCAGCATGGGGTACTGCTTCAAATTCTGGGCCACAGAAACCCATTGGGTAACCTTCAAGAGTTATAGCCTCTCTTGAAAAGGCAATGGAAATCTTCTGAATAACTCATAAGAGGAAAGCCCTAGGATTAGGAGTGAACCACACTCTCTCAGCCTCACTGGAAGGCAATGCCATGATAGGATCCCTTTGTGGTCGCCATAAGTGAGACATGTCTTGAAGGCACACAACAACAAATTGGAGATGAAGTTGTGGAACAAAAATCTATTAGGAAAACATCTCTAGAACTTGATGTTGTAGATGGCTTGAAACTTGTCACAAGGGGAATGGACCACTTTCTTTGTCATGCCGTTGGCTTTGCTTGGGTTCCTATCAGGAGAGATGTTCTTGGCCTTCTCAAGCAAGAACATCGTCCTACATCACAACCTTATTTCAGTGAGTTTTGTGTGAGCTCCCTATCAATCCCTTCCCCGCACAAAATAGCCTTCTGGAACATCTCCTTTGCAGGCATCCTTTGTCCGGTTGCGTCTTTTTCCGTCTGTTTATCCGTCGGTCATTTCAATGTTTCTATTTGTTTGTTTTTGCTTGTTTCCAGCCTTTGCCGTAAGTACTTCCATAGCTCTCTTAATAAGAGTTTGTTGCATGAATAGACTCCATCTCTCTCTTTCTGTCCCTTTTCCTCGAAAAAACACAAACCGTGTATTGTTCCTTGAGGGTTCAGGTTGGATATGCTGCAAATGCGTAATAAAAATTCTGTAATCGTAAGTTGGCATTAAGCAGGAGTCCACAACTTTAAATACATTGTGTTCACATGCTAAACATCTAAATCTCTCCCTTTTTTTTGTTACCAAATGAAAATAATTTCAAGTGTTTCCTTTCTGCTGGGAGAAAATCTGGGATGCTTTCTGCAAAAAATTCATTCGGTCTGAAAACCCCCCTAACATTTTGTGTAGAAATGGATCTCTTAAGTAAATAATGCTGCTTTCTGCATAAAAAAAAGTTTCAGGGGACATTATCCCAATGGTTGGTCATTGTTCATCCTGGTCCTTGTGGGAGGCTTCTCTCATGTCCCCGCATGAGGAGCTGGAGCTGAGAGAGGGAGCTCATCCGCCTCTCCCCGGATTCGAACCTGCGACCTGTTGGTCTTCAGTCCTTCTGGCACATGAGAGAAGCCTCCCACAAGGATGATAAAAATATCAAAATCATCTGGGCGTCCCCTGGGCAACGTTCTTGCAGACAGCCAATTCTCTCATACCAGAAATGACTTGCAGTTTCTCAAGTCGCTCCTGACACGATAAAAAAAAAATCCTGGTCCTGGAGCCCCCAGTGGTACAATGGGCTAAACCCTTTTGCCGGCGGGACTGCTGACCAAAAAGTCAGCAGTTTGAATCTGGGGAGCAGGGTGACTTCCTGTATGTCAGCTCCAGCTTCCCATTCGGAGACATGAAAGAAGCCTTCCACAGGATGGTAAAATATCGGGGCGTTCCCTGGGCAGTGTCCTTGTAGACAGCCAATTCTTTCACACCAGAAGCAACATGCAGTTTCTCAAGTTACTCCTGACATGGGAAAAAAAACAAAACCCTAGTTCCATCCCATTTTGCTAGTAAACACCTGTTTCTTTTCTGTAATAGCTGGTGCTTCGATTGAATTTTGACACTAGAGGGAGATCTAGGATTCTGGAAACTGTTCTCAAAGGGCCGTTTTCTCAAGAACAGAACCAGAGTCAGCTTTCCCTTGCAATATCCCAAAGGATGCAAACTGTTCTTGAATGGAAGCAGTCAAAACCCAAGTTTTGTAAGCTTCTTTTAAATAAATAAATACATGAATGAAAAAAAAGACCATGAGATAAGCCCAGAAATATTATAGCTGGTATTTATTGTGAAGAATGTGCCTTATCAACCCTAGTTTTTGAGAATGACCAGTTATCAGGTCAACTCTACACTGTAGCATTAATGCAGTTTGACCGCACTTTCACTGCCATGGCTCAGTGCTAGGGAATCATGGGAGTTGTAGTTTGGTGAGGCACTAGCCCTTTGACAGAGAAAGCTGAAGACCTTGCAAAACTATAACTCCCAGAATTCACTAGCATTGAGCCATGGCAATTAGACTGCATTAATATACACCCTTAGACATTCACCTCTATACTCCAGCACTAGAGCCATTTGCTGAGAATTCCAAATTATTCTCTAAACCACACATTCCAGGACTTGGTTTCTGTAAGCTTTTTGGTTTAAATGCATGCTTCAAAGTTGACTACATACCTTATAATTCACTTTATGGATATATGACCTTGAAAAGTATATTGAAACTACAGGGGCCAGGGCAACATTTCATTTAACTTTTGGAAATTTGGCTGTAACCCAAACCTGCCACCCTGAAAGACCTTTAATAGTGGATTTCTGGGACAATTTACCCAGTTCCAAGTAGACTTCAATTCCAGCTAGGGGTTCTTCAGCAATGTTGTGAGAAGATTGTAAATGTAGACAGTTTGCTCTGTCGTGACCCCTTTGGGTTGCTTTGTGTAATGCCTTCCAGTTCCAGATCTGTCCACCTCCTGGTTGATTTCTCCCTTCCTACCCTGAATCCTTTGCAGCAATAAAATGGGCATCAAGGACCGCATCCGCTTGAGCAATTCCCAAAGGCAGAGCAGCCGGGGGAAACAGCATCTGGTGCCACCCCTCCGCCGCTCGCCCAGCACCGAGAACGTCAATGAGGCTGCCAGCCCCACCAAGGTCCAGAAGAGCTGGAGCTTCAATGATAGGACAAGGTTCCGAGCCTCATTGAGGTTGAAGCCCCGGATCCCTGTGGAAGGTAGGTCTTGGAAGACACCATAGACTGAGCGTCAGAATGGTCAAAAAAAGGTCTTGTTTGGTTTCCAGAGAACATCTGAAATCCTTCAAGATGAAACTTCTCACAAAGCCCCTTCTCCATCCATAGTTGATGGTCCTGTGGAGGAAAGCAGTGAGGAGAAGGCCTACCAATGTGACTTGACCTTTGAGGATATCATGCCTGCGGTCAAGACCCTCATAAGGGCAGTCAGGTGAGCCCAGTTGGGTAAGGATGGTGATCTCAGATTCCTGCATGCCAGGGGATTGAACTCGATGGCCTTGAGGTCCAACTCAAAGATTATGTGATTCGCCTGATTTTCACTCTCTGATGGACCAGTTTATCCATTCTTCATTGGGTCTCCATACAAGGAGTAACCATGGTCTTGAGATTTCAGGGACAAAACCTGAGACCTAAGGATGACTCCTTATGAAGTTATGAACCTGACCAAACAGCAAGACCTTTGGGGATGATCTCTGTCCTAACACCATCATTGGTGAGGATATGAGAAAAGGCTCCCCACATTGTGGGAATCTAGGTTAGGCCTCTTTTCCTTTCTGAACAGGTGCATTAACAAGATAATAATAATAATAATAATAATAATAATAATAATAATAATCCTTTATTTGTACCCCGCTACCATCTCCCGAAGGACTCGGTGCGGCTTACAAGAGGCCGAGCCCAAATACAACAGTAAAACAACAACAACAAAAACAACAACACAATAACTCAAAAAACAAAGCAATAGCAAAAAATAGCAATACATTAACAACATCCAATGACGCAATTAAAAATAATGGCCAGGCCAAATGTAATAATTAAAATTAAAAATTAAAAATGCTGGGCATGACAAGGTGGGGTGTTTGGAGGGGATGGGCATGCAGATATCCTGGATCTCTAATAAAGTGCGTTGGGACATAATGCTAGGAGTTTCCTTATTTTGGAAAGGCACACTGGAACAACTACGTTTTCAAGCTCCTCCTAAAGATTGCTAGCAACGGGGCCTGCCTGATGTCCTTCGGGAGAGAGTTCCAGAGTCGAGGGGCCACCACTGAGAAGGCCCTATCCCTCATCCCCACCAGTCGCGCTTGCGATGCCGGTGGGATCGTCAGCAGGGCCTCTCCAGATGAACGAAGAGATCGTGTGGGTTCGTACACAGAGATGCGGTCACACAGGTAGGCGGGTCCCAAACCATTTAGGGCTTTGTAGGTAAGCACCTGCACCTTGAATTGGGACTGGAAAATGAAAGGCAAGATGTGATTTCTGCTTATTTCCTGTTTTAAAACTAGGTCTCTCCTGGCCCTAAAGGGGCACAGGGATGTCAAAACATAGTGAAATGCCTCTGAGACTGTATTTTGGGGCAATATGAAATGGTTGAAGGGATGCTAATGCAGCCAGCCCTCTGAGTGCCCCTGGTTTGGCCACTCGTTCTCTAAAAGGTTTGCCATCACTGATCTAGGCCTTAACACTCCAGTCTCAGCCTTGAAACCAGCTAGTTTTACCTTGGGCAACTGTGTTTGTCCAACCATTTGGTCCCCTTCTCTTCATGCCACCTGGATTATTGTATTTTTATTTTCACTTTCATTGCAGAATCCTCAAATTCCTGGTGGCCAAACGGAAGTTCAAGGAGACGTTGCGCCCATATGATGTCAAGGATGTTATTGAACAATATTCAGCCGGCCACTTGGACATGTTGTGCAGGATCAAAAGTCTCCAGACTCGGTAACCAGAACTGCTGAAGCTATCTGGACAACTGGGGCTCCCATGTCAGTGGGATATGTGTGAATGCACACCACATTTTAGCTTATGGTTTGAAGGAGCTCCCCAAAGTCCAGCATCTATTTTGGAAGAACCTTGGGAAGCTCTTTAAGCCTGAACTAAAATCAAGAGTAGATGCACTCCCTGACCCCACCATTGGTGCCCAGAGTGGCCAGGAAGTTCTAGACCTAGAAGTCCAAAAATGTAATATGTCAAAATTCAGAATCCTGTAAGATCACCATTCTCAATAATCGCAGCCTCTTCTGAATAATTCTGCCAATGATAGATTTACCTTAGGGTTTGATTTTCTTGTCTTACTTTTTCCTCCCTGCTCCCATTGCCTGGCAGAGTGGATCAGATAGTGGGTCGTGGAGCCATTGCCATCGACAAGAAGGTGCGGGAGAAAGGCGAGAAGTCATCACTGGAGATGGAACTAGTGGATGAGCTTAGTATGCTGGGACGAGTGGTCAAAGTGGAGAAGCAGGTGTGTCTTCCTCCAGAGGAGGAGGTGTTGGTGGTTTTAATATGCACCTCTTTTACCTACAAACTAAGAAAGGATTTATTTCTCCAGTCCTTAACAAGCCCATCCCTTTGCTCATACCCCATCAACTCTTTCTTCTAGTGCTGCAGTGGATACTTTCGACTCCTGCAGGACTTTCAGCTCCAGGACTTTCAGCTCTTTCAGAATTCTTGGAGGCCACATATAATCGAATATCATGAAATATCTATCTATCCATCCCTCCATCCATTCCACCATCCTTCCAGATATCTATTGATTAATCATCTGGAAGGCCTTTTTTGCTCCCCCTTGGTCTAAGGCAGTGGTTCCCAACCTGTGGGTCCCCAGATGTTTTGGCCTTCAACTTCCAGAAATCCTAACAGCTGGTAAACTGGCTGGGATTTCTGGGAGTTGTAGGCCAAAAAACCTGGGGACCCACAGGTTGAGAACCACTGGTCTAAGGGATGGGGAGATTCCTGGGACTCCTTATTTGGGCTTGAAGATGGTGCTCATGTGCTCAGGCTGAGATGATACAATATTGAGAAAGTGCCATGAACCTCATTAGTGTTCTCTTGATAGCAATGTGAAATTTTAAGGTCCATGATAGACTGATGTTTCTGTGAGGATTAAACTCTGATGAAGGTACTTCTCTCAGATGTGACTTCATTGTTATTCTTGTTGTGAGTTGGGTATTTTCATCTTCAGCAGACTTTTTCCAGCTGTCATTGAGTGTCCCTTTGTTAACATTTCAATCCCTCACTGAGTTTTCCTTCACTGAGCTTTCCCATCCCCAGCTAGGTTTTCCCTTTTGTTGACCGTTCTTCTTTCATCCACAGCTCAACTTCTTAACCGCCTCTTTCTTTTTTTACACAGGTGCAGTCCATTGAGCACAAGCTGGATTTGCTGCTGGGTGTCTACTCCCAATGCTTGAGGAAAGGTTCCGGCAACTCCATCAGCCTCACCGCCATGCCCATCCCGACAGGGGAGCCAGACATCACCTCGGACTACCACAGCCCTGTGGACCACGAGGACATCTCTGTCTCTGCTCAGACCTTGAACATCTCCCGGTCAGCTAGCACCAACATAGACTAAGTTGGCCCCCACCTAGCTGCATGATAGTGATACACCAGCCGTATTGGGGAGAGGTGAGGATATGGGGAGGAAACCTTCCTGCTTCCAGGGCAGGGAAGAGGGGTAGACAGCCTACTCTAAGAGACAGGACTCCTCCAAACCAAAACCTTCTCCAACCTCACCATGTTGGCAAGGCTTTGGTGGACACTGTTCTCTCAACGCACCACAAGTGTTGCCTCAACTTTACTTGAAGTCTTCCAGCTGAGGACAGATGTTCCAAGAGCAACATGGACATCGACCTCCAGCATGAGCCATCATGGCACCGTTAATGGTTTCCTAAACACAACAGCAGCCAAGCCATCAATTGTAACTGAGAAATGCCTCTGAAGCCTGTGTTGGGAGCAAGACATCAATGAGCAGAACCTGAAGGGTGGCTTTCTCCTTGGAAAGGAAGCCTTCTGAGCCTAGAATGAATTTGTGACAGGTGGATCTTCTTTTGCTCCATCATCCTTCTGTGAGGACCAACTCCAATGGAGCATTTCCAGGGGCATCCAACTTCAGAGGAGCTGATGCTAAGATCTCCTCAGGTCTGACTGGTCTCTATCTTGGCCTCAACAACAGCTCTCTGACCAAGTAAACCATATTGGCGGTCTCATTCGCTTAGCAACTTTTCTCTGACTGCCATCTACTTACTCTGGACTTCTTCCCTTTTGGGAAACTGGGTCAGAGATGCTACTTAACAGCTATGCAAAAGCTAGATTCCCCCTTCCTTCCTTCCTTCCTTCCTTCCTTCCTTCCTTCCTTCCTTCCTTCCTTCCTTCCTTCCTTCCTTCCTTCCTTCCTTCCCATGCTACACAAGGGTGACTCCACTGAGTGCGGTTTCTCATCTTTGCATCTAGAAGAAAATGATAACTTTTGATGCCTCACCCTGCTCCTGGCCGTCTTGAAGCTCTTTTGCACTTCTTCTGTATACCGCCTCTAACCCCACCCTCTGCCTCCCAATGGGCATTGCTCTGTGGCCCAGGTATCATAAGCACAGTGGGACTTTCCACCCAAGCGGGAGATGTGTTTGCCGGGGGTTGGGCAATATGATATGCAACAAATCTTGAATATGCAACTTGCAACTAGTCTTTACTGTTCAGCCATGGATAAGGAGTTTCTCTTCCCAGGAAGCTTAGAGAAAGCTAGATGACTCCCAGGGTCTTTATTGGTGATCCAGATGACCAGTGTGTGTGTGTGGGGGGGGGGGGGAGGAATCCTCCTGTGTCCCATTTCTTAATCCTGTCCCAAACTGGGACAGGTAGGGGAGCAAATCTCATCCCTGTACTTGTTCTATAGATGGATGAAGGTAGGGACTCTGTCTTTACAACAGGGTGTGCAATTGCATGGAGACCAAAGGCTCAAATACTTTATTTTCCCTCTGCAGTCCCTCTGCAGTTCCTAGCAGCAGGAAGTGACTTGGAGTTAGTATGGAGTACTGGAGTGTATGTGGTAGGATGGGTGTATTTTCACATGCTTTTTATCTCCACTGTTTGCCACCTTGGAAGCTATGTCCTCCCTAGGGTCCTTTGATCTTTGGATGCTGTTAAAACTTTGCACATGAATTTCCCCCTGTTTCTTGATTGACTATCTAAATGTTTTCAAAGAAGACAGCATCTAGAAAGTCTTTGTCTCCTAGAGCTTGGGAACATTCCTTTGGGGGGGGGGGGGTATGACAGTTCCCAGAATCCTCTAGCCAGCATGGCCCCTGCTGTCAGGCTCCAAAGTACAGATGGGTGGAAATGTGCCCTGGGGGCCATATATGGCCCCAAGATTGCTTTCTGTGTTCCTGCAAAACTCACTGAATTCCTCCTAAAATAATCCAGATTATTTTCATTGGCTGAATAGTGCCCTCAAGCCACCATGAAAGTGTGGAGTCTGCCAACGCCCCTCCCCCCAAGTGAAACGATCAGCAGCCTTTAGATTGTTCTCGAACTCAATATGATGTGGTGTGAGTTCTGGTTGCACTGGGAGCTGTGGGTCATGGACAGGGTTCAAATGGCCATTGTCCATTCCTACCCTAAAGAAACTCTTCCAAGCTCTCCTTCCTTGAATATCTTGCTTCTCATCCCCAGCTACTGCCACATGTATGAAGAAACTGGAAAGGCACCCCATTCTCCTTATCTGCTCACACCAAGTTACTCCACCAGCATGCAAGCAGCTGAGTTGTCTTGCAGAAAAGTCCTGGATATTTGATGCAGGGAACAAGCAGCTTCCATCCCACCCTCCGTAGGGTGCATGCCACGCCAGCCCTCCTTGCCCAAATGCACCACTGCCTGCCCCCCACCCCTTGCATGCTCATGCATGTGTCTTGAAGAAACATCTAGTGCTGTTCCCGACTCTTTCCTCACAGACTCGCCCACCTCTCCATGCACTGAACATAGCATCTTTGGAGAGCGCACCCAGGTTCTCCAACCCATGGGAATGTCTCCCAAAGCAGGGAGGGGTTTGCATGGGGACGGCGAGGGGAGGGGAAGGGAGCAGGGAATGGCTTTGACCCACCAACTGAGGACAACGAGGCAGAACCTTCTGGCAGATGTCCCAACCAACCCTTTTTCCGAAGCAGTGAATAGTTACCTCACTTTATTAACTTATTAACTTATTGGTTTCATTAAAGTTTTCAGTAGATGGTTGATTGCGTGCCTTGTGACTTCTCTGTGTTGTGGTGGAGGGAGAGCTGTGGGCTTTGGGTAAGGACTTCTAACACAAAGGATTGGTGTGTGAGAGAAGGGGCAAGTATGGTGAAGTGAAGATCCTAGATCGATTTGGGCTTCAGGCAGACATTGTCAAGCTCTCAGTCTAGCCTACTGTCAGGATTGCTGAGATAAAAGAGGTATCCTCACATACCCAGTCCTGAGCAACATCTAAGTATATGTTGTGATTAGGTCTTGGGTCCATAAGTTGTGGTCCACCTCCAAAAAACTGATTTCTGTGCTCATCAGTTGGCCCAAAGCATCAAGGTGATGGGAACTTCTGGTTGAACCCTTTTCCTGGCAGCTTCAGGAACACAAAGCTGAATTCTGTGCCTATCAGATGGACTAAAGCACACAAAAAGTATATTTGATGGCACCTCCAGGTGGAACCCTTTCCCTGGTATCCTCAGTAATTGCAAGGCTGTAAATATTTCCATCTCCAAAAGCCATCTCGGTCTGGTTTAAACAGCAGAAGGTGGAACCACAGGTATGTTGCTAGCTTGTCTGGGCTCGTTCCACGCCTGGGCTGTGAGATGAATCTAACACAAGGGGAGACCCTTGGCCTGGAACAACAAACATTTGCCCTCGGGGAAGGAAGTCTGTTCTGGAAGGGAACAGGCTCTTGCAACATTGTCTGAGATTTAGAGTTAACTCAGATGGCTGCCTCCAGCGCCCATTTAACTGCACACTGACTTCATTGGGCACCTCTTGAGGTTTTGGAAATGTCATCAGGGCTTGCAATCCCCAAAGTCATCTCACACAGTCCTTCCATGATCTGGTTCAGAGACATGTCTGGCTGCATTCCCTGGAGGTAAAATGATGGGATTGGCTTTGGACCTCTAAAAATCTCAATGCTGCTGTGATCATTTCATATCCAGGAACAGAGGCACAGTCAGATGCAAAGCAATGGCTGTGCAGCATGAATTTGGGCCATTTCAGTAAGCTGGGAAAGGAGTTATATGGCTCAGTGTAATGTCAGTCCACAAGGGTATTTGCACTAGGATGCAGGGTTGAGACCTATGTCACCTAAGCCTTATATATCCCAGTGTTTTCCATGTTCTATTTTTAAAATTAATCTCCCAAATGGGAAACAAAGTGGTGCTTGGATAAACCATGGTCTGCCATGGCTCTGAGCCATGCCAAAGTTCTCCCTCGTCTGTTCTTTCCATTGCTCATCTTAACACGCAGTGCCCAACCATCTGTCCTTAGAAGCATTCCTAGAAAACGTACATCGCTTAGGGACAATGGTTGGTTTTGTCTGACCGCTCTATGGAAATGTGAACTTTCCCTGGGGTTCAGGAAGAGAAGGGGACTGTTGTCTGCTCGGAATATCTGCCCACAAAGACACGGGACCCCACCCTTGGGATCTGGGTGCCCTTGGGAGCATGAAATGTGCTTCAGGGGGATTACGATGGGCTGCTGTGTGGGAGGGGGTGGGGAGAAATGTGTCACGAAGGATGTCTTTCCATTCCGTCTAGCTCCATGCTTACGACGCGAAGTGCAAACACAATTGCATGCACACAACTGACCTCATTGTTGAATTCTGTCCAACTGGAAGAACCATTGTGTGTCGAGGCAGAGTTTGGGAATGATCATATTGCCACTGAAACACAGAGAAAATCTCTTGATGTACCATATTCAGTTGGCAATGCTTTTCACAGTCTGGAGCTAGACCTTGGTAGGGAGGCTATTCTTCCCCCTCTTCCCTTTTCCTTATATTTTTGCTGGCTCAGGTATACTGGGAGTTGTCTTAACAAGACATCAGAGCCCCGGTGGCACAATGGGTTGTGCCGGCAGGACTGAAGACTGACAGGCCAGAGGTTCAACTCTGGGGAGAGCATAGATGAGCTCCCTCTGTCAGCTCCAGCTCGCCATGCGGGGACATGAGAGAAGCCTCCCACAAGGATAGTAAAACATCAAAACATTTGGGCATCCCCTGGATAACGTCCTTGCAGATGGCCAATTTTCTGACACCAGTTTCTCAAGTCGCTCCTGACACATAAAAAAACAAAACAAAAACAAGACACCTTCCCAAGCTGCTTACACTTTATCAAGCTCCAATTCCACCCAAGTCTCTTGTTCCTCCAGACACAGGCAACACCTTTTGCTTACAGGACCTCTGATCTAGATTCCATACAGAAGGTTCCAGGGTGTTAAACATTTACCAGGATGACGGCTGGTTGTGACGACAGAAATGCCTGGAACGCTGAGGAGGAAGCGTGAGTCATGGGCAGCCATGTGCCGAGTGCTCCTTATGCGCTCTTATCTCCAAGAGCAGCAACAGGCAAAGGGGATTTGCAGGAGGAAGGGAGACCTTGGCTTTTTCCTGTTATGGGATCAATGCCAAGCCTTTCGTGTGTGAATAATTAACCTTTATAGCCCAGCCCTGAATGCTTTAAAACTCAGTGAAAAGAAGCTATAAAGCACAGGCTAATTTGTCCCCACTCTCTCAGGTTGTATCTACACCACAGAATGGACTCGAAAGTGATGAACAGTAATAAAAGCAATACAATCTAAAACCTAATGCAGTGTTTCTCAACCTTCCTAATGCTGTGACCTCCTAATACAGTTCATCATGTTGTGGTGACCCCTAACCATAAAAATTTTGTTGCTACTTCATAACTGTAATTTTGCTAGTTATGAATCGTAATGTAAATATCTGATATGCAGAATGTGTCTTCATTCACTGGACCAAATTTGGCACAAATAGATTGATTTTGTCATTTGGGAGTTGTAGTTGCTGGGATTTATAGTTAACCTACATTCAAAGAGCATTCTGAACTCCACCAACAATGGAATTGAACCAAACTTGGCATGCAGAACTCCCATAACCAACAGAAAATACTGGAAGGGTTTGGTGGGCATTGACCTTGAGTTTTGGAGTTGTAGTTCACCTACATCCAGAGAGCACTGTGGACTCAAACAATTACAGATCTGGGCCAAACTTGGCACAAATACTCAACATTTATTTATTTATTTATGTATTTATTTATTTACTATATTTGTATACCACCCCTCTCAGCCCAGAGGTGACTCGAGGCGGTTTACATATGGTAATCAATGCCCCATAAAATAAAATACAGTCAAAACATAATATAATATAATATAATATAATATAATATAATATAATGTAATATAATATAACATACCCAAATGTGAACACTGGAGGAGTTTGGGGGAATAGACCTTGACATTTGGGAGTTGTAATTGCTGGGATTTATAGTTCACCTACACTCAAAGAGCATTCTTTTATTTATTTATTATTTATTTCAAAGTTTTCTATACCGAGCTTCTCACCTCTTAGAGGGACTCAGCCCGGTTTACAACCATAAAAACATACAATCAGTAAAATATCATAGTCATAATTACAATAACACATTTAAAATAACAACTATATTTAAAACTACGGTGGTCAGTCGTCATATTAAAAACAAGTATACCTCATCTTCCATCCACAATCCTAGGGTGCTGTCTCATTCATCGAAAGCCTGTCTCCACAACCACGTCTTCACCCGTTTCCTGAATGTCAGGATAGAACTCCATAAAGAATAGAATTGGGCCAAACTTCCCACACAGAACACCCATGCCTTGAAGAGATTCATTGGCGTGAGCCTTCCTTCAGCCTCACATGCTCTCCCTTGCCCGCACATGCACACCAATGATAGAAATGGGCCAAACTTTCCACACAGAATCCCCATGATCAACAGAAAGTACTGTAGGGATTTGGGAAGAATTGGCAGTGATTTAGGAGAGATGTAGTTCACCTACCTCCAGAGAGTACTGCAAACCCAAATGACTATGGATCTGGACCAAATTTGGCACAAATTTGGCACCACACTGCCATGCGTCGAGCATGCCTGCTCTCCCTTCCCCACTTGGAGTCTCAGAAATAGCCTTCCCCTTGGCTGAAAGACCAGCCAATCACAGTGGAGGAGGGCTTTTGGTGGGATGATTCAGTCTCTTTCCAAAAAGGAACAGAAGGACAAGCAGAGACATCTTCAGCCTTCGATGCCAAAGGAGTTCCTAAGAGTATAGAAATATGTTTTCTGACTGTCTTTGGTAGTCTCTCTGAAACCGCCTCGCGACCCCCCCAGAGGTCCCAATCCCCAGATTTAAAACCTAATGACTATCTATATATATATAAATGCTCTGTGCGTAATGAGTACCTTAAAAACAAAAAAAAACCAATGAACAAAATAACACCAAATTTGGCAACAAAACATCTCACAACACAAGGAGTGACCATCACTCAAAAAATTATGATTTTGTCATTTGAAAGTTGTAGTTGCTGGGATTTATAGTTCACCTACAATCAAAGAGCATTCTGAACTCCACCAACAATGGAATTGAACCAAACTTGGCACACAGGACTCCTCTGACCAACAGAAAACACTAGAAGGGTTTGGTGGGCATTGACCTAGAGTTTTGGAGCTGTAGTTCATCTACATCTAGAGAGCACTGTGGACTCAAAAATGATGGATCTGGACAGAGGCGACCCTAGGTAATTTCAAAGATAAGCAAACAGTATTTTGCCCCCCCCCCCCCCCAACCAATCACTGATATATATTTTCTGTCGCCGTGGGAGTTCTGTGTGCCATATTTGGTTCAGTTCCATCATTGGTGGAGTTCAGAATGCTCTTTGATTGTAGGTGAACTATACATCCCAGTAACTACAACTCGCATATGTCAAAGTCTATTTTCCCCTAAGAGCACCTCAACTATACTGCAAATGCTTACTTCGCGTAATGGGTTGAGCCGCCCCTGGATCTGGACCAAACTTGGCACAAATACTCAATATGCCCAAATATAAAAACAGATGGAGTTCAGGGGAAATAGACCTTGACATTTGGGGGTTGTGGTTACTGGGATTTATAGTTCAAGCATTCTGAATCCCACCAACGACAGAATTGGGGCAAACATCCCACATAGAACTCTCATGT